CCTCCGGCCCCGCGCCCGCCGCCGCCTCCCCTTAGCCGCCGGGCCGCGTGGCGCGCGGGGGGCCGCCCGGGCGCCCTCGGGGTCTTAACTCTTCATTCTCCTATCGTTATTATTACTTTTGTAAGAAACGGTATTTATGTGTAACGCTTCCTTTGTACAGAGCTAGGTGTTGGCTGTGGTTCCGGCGTCGGGAGGCGCTCCGGGCTCGGGGCTGCCCCGCCGGCCCCGCCGGTGCTTCCGGACCCCGAGTCCGTCTCAGGACAGAGGCGGGGGCCTCCCTCTGGTGCTCCCGGGCCGCCCCCGCGCCCGCCCGCCCCGCCCGCCGCGGCAGCTCAACGGCCGAAGGACAGAGGCTGCCGGGGACCCTCCTCTAGCTGCAGGTCGGGGATCTTCTTCAGGGAAATAGAAGGTGCTCTTGTCCGGGGTGCGCACGAGGAGCAGGGGTCCCGGGGAGCGGCGGGGCGAGGCGGGCGCCGGCCCCAAGCTCCCTCCCCGCGCCGGACCCCGGGCCCGCGACCGCGCCGGGGGGATTCCTCATTGCTCAGGACTGTGACGGGCGCTGGGGGTTGCTGCGACCCCCGCCCCCCACCACCAGAGGCGCCAGCACCTGTAGCATCGGGCAGGGCCTCCCATTCGTGCAGCTAAGACCCTCCCTCCTGGCCCTGGGGGAGGGCGGGGCAGAAGGCGACCGCACGGGTGACAGGGACCGCAGGGGCGGGGTGCCTCATGGAATTGGCAGTGATGAGAGCTCGGGGTCATTCTGTCCCCACTGCCGGCCCGGCCTTGGTGTCTGCTTCCAGGGTTGGGGCCTGGGAAGGGGCGTGCCTCCGTCTGCTCGGTGACTCTCGCCCTAGGGCTGTTCTGGGTCCCAGACGGAAGAGCAGACGGTGCTTGGCCCGCAGGGGGTCTCAGCCACCCAGGCAGCGAGAACAGGAAGGATGCGACTGTTTGGGGCTTTAATATTCTACATGGGGAAAAATGCGAATAAGTTGTACAGTATTTTTCCTGTAAAGGTTATTATTCTACATAGAACAAAAGAAAACAGAAGCAGACGGGCGGCTAGAGCACAGAGCCGCCTCGGACCAGCCCTGGGGTTGGAGACCCGAGTGCAATTTGCTCACGTGGGATTCTTGTTTAGCATTTTAGTTTAGAGGCCTTACCAGTTTGAGGCTGTCTGTCTTTACACTAGCACTGATGGGAGCTGCGTGATTCCAACTTTTAACTTGAATTTTGTAGAGACAAGAAAAAAGGACTATTATTGTTGATACAAGTTTGTAGTTAATTTAATATTTGAGTTTTTCTCTATTGGTTATGCGTGTGGCTTTTTCGGGCTTTTTTTTCCCCAGTTTATTATTTTGCTTGGGATACTTTTTTGCTGGTGCAACCCATCCAGATTTGGTTCCCTTTGCAAAATATCCCCCCAGCCTCCCTCAAGAATGCGGTCACCAAGGCCAGAGCTGGGGGCTCTGTCTGGCAGGCACATGCCTGGCCAGTGGCTCCAAGGGCGACAGGGACCAAGGGCAGGCTGCCCAAGGCCCCACCTGTTCACCTTCTCTCCACTCCAGGCCACCAGCCCGTCTTAGGTTGGACCCTGTGACATGGCCACAGGGAGTGTGCCAGGCCCAGCCTAGGGGAGTGGCTGTCACCCAGAACCTCCTCCCCATAGGTCTCCAAGGGAAGCCTGGCCCGGCTGGGGCAGAGGGCTGGAGGTTTACTTTTTACTTTTTTTTTTGGTCCTCTTGGCTGCCCACAGCCAGAAAGCCAGGATCCTCTGAACTGGAGAGGGAGCAGGGAGGGAGGATCGGTCAGATGGAGTGTACCCGATTCAACAGGAAACAAATGATTTTCTAGAACAGCCCCTACCAGAGCCTCCTGAATTCTGTGGGCACCACGTGCTGCTGCTGAGCATTTGCCCAGACTTTGTGCCCGACCACAGAACCGGGGCATCTGTGGAAGGAGTTTTGTAAAGGAAAAAACAAAAAAACATTTTTCAATGTAGCAAAATCAAACAAAAAAAAAAAAAAGAAGAAGATGCCGACAGTGCGAAGTCTAGCCTTTTGTAACCTTCATATTGCACACTAGGACTATAAGCCATTGCTAGCTCATTTTGAATTTTAACGTGTAATTTTTGTTTTATTTTCTTTCCGTGGGGAAAACAATGCTTGATCCACCAATGCTCTTTTTAATGTTTTATAACTATGTATGTGTATATATATAAATATAAAATAATATGTATGCACATATGTGTGTATATATCTATATGTATATACATATATAGATATATAGAGATATATAGAGAGGTTTTGAGATGAAAAATGCAGAACGTGAAAACCGAACTGAACAGCGTGTGCTCTGATTACTTGAATCTGGTCTCCTCGGCACCTGGTTATTAAGAACTGAATATTTTTCCACTTGAATTTAGTGCTATTAGAAATTTAATATATGTGTTTTATTTATTTGATTTTTTTTGCATGACTGATGCAAGGTTTGACATTTTCACTCAATAAAAACTGGAAAAAAAAACTATCAAGTTATCTTTTATTTTTAAAATCAGCCCCAAGTGGCTGGCAGTGACCTAGCCGTGCCAGGTGGCACAGCCACCACAGTCGGGCTCTGTGTGCCAAGGCAGGGAGGGGAGGAGGGTGTCGGTCACCCTTCAACCCTGGCAGGGAAGAAGGCAGACCAGTTTCGCCCCGGGATGGGGCCAAGTTCTCCAGGATAGCTGGGGACAGACAGTGGGGGACTCAGGCACTGCCTGGCCGGAAGTTACCACCTTTCCCAGCCCCGAGGAGGCTCCAGAGCTGACCCGCATAGATGTCTTGGGCCTTGGGCACAGGCTCCAGAGGCACGCAGGCCCCAACCTGGCCAGCCCTTGCCCCTTAAAGCCAGGGCTACTGGGCAGGCGCTTGGCAGGGTCATCCCTCTGCCTCCTCCCTCGGCTCCTTCCTCCTTCCTGCAGGAACCTGCCTGGGCTGGGAACGGGAACAGTGCGTACCCGGATCCGATCTGGATGCTGGCTCGGCTCCTCCCTGGGGCACGCAGGGGCAGAGCCAGAGGGGGCCAATTCCTGGGTCTGTAGCCCCCAGCCCCAGGCCTGAGCTGCTGGCCCCAGTGGCACCACAGCTGGGGCTCCCTTAGAAGCCTGGGTGGTGCGAGCACAGCCGCCAGGCCCCGCCCAGAGCGCAGGCCTTATGCCTGGTCCACCCTGACACTTCTCCATGTTGACCCGATTCTCAGTAAAGCTCATCCTCTGTGCCATCTTGCCAGCCTTGCCCTGAGCTAACCTCCCACCAGGTGGCCAGGCGTCCCAGGGCCCCTGGGAGGAGACGTGACGTGTGCTGGGCCCCCGGCGCTCCTCCACCAGAGCAGCGTCTCGCCGGGTGTCACACCCCTGCAACCAGCGCACTGCTTTCCTGGGGGGGACCAAGGGGCTGCACTGCTCCCAGGGCCCTGCTCAATGTCGTTTCCACCACAGAAGCCTCGTGTCTAACCCAGCCCCAGCCCCAGCCCTTTCCCTTTCTTCCTTTCTCCTGGAACGCGGCCCACAGGCTATTTACATAAATATGTTTGTAATAGACGTGAAAATATATACTTTTTTCTGTCTTATTAAAATGTTCAAGTTGGAACTCGCCTATTGTTTGTGGATATCTCGATTCTGTTAAATAAAACAGTGACTAATTTATGGGATAAAACACAAGTTCAACAAATTAAAACCATTACTGGAGCTTCACAGGCCCTGGTGGGCCGAGCTGCCCTCCCGCAGGGCCTGAGGGGAGGCAGGGAGCCAGGCCCCAATCTCAGCCGGGTGGGTGGGTGGTGCGACCACAGGGCTCCCTCTGGGCACCGCTGCCGCGGCATCCAGGCAGGGCCCACAGAGGCTCCAACTCCAGCTGGGGCCCAGGGGAGAAAGGACAGGGACTCAGGGTAGACGCCCCCAAAACTGCCCCCTCCCCAGCTGCCCCCAGGTCTCCTGGGCCTGGATGGACCTCAGCGGATCCATACATGGTGGACAGGAGGCCCAGCCTTGCTGTGCACCAGCTTCCAGACTCGACCCGGGACAAGACAGGGCCCCTGCACTGAGCCCAGGGAAGGGGGCACTAGGTCTCAGGGCACTCCTCAGAAGAGCCTCAGGGCGACAAAGGTCTGGGACCACAGGAAGCTGCACCCAGGCCAGCCCACGGCCCTGAGCCCAGGCACTGCCCTGAGCCCAGGCACTGCCCACTGAGCCCATGGCCTCCGCCCCCAGGAGGGAGGGGCCTGCAGCCGCAGCGGTGCCCCGCCCCAGGGGTGCAGAGTGGGCTCGGGCCCCACGAGTCTCCCTGTGGCTTGTCGGACTCAGCAGAACTTGCAGTAAAACATGTTTTCATTATGGGCTTTAATTAGCTGTAGTGGGGTGACGCTCCTACACCCAAACTGGGGCAAATTCAAGAGTTCTGTAACCTCTTGGAAAGAGCCAGAACCAGCTGCACAGGCTCACGCTGAGCTCAGTGGCCTGCCCATCTCCCACAGACCTGGCCCGGCTTGGGTGCTCCCAGCAACTGAGTCACCCACAGGAGCCAGGCCTCAGCAGTCACAGGCAGCCCAGTGCAAGCCCACCCGGACCCACAGCGACAGGGCAGCCCCTCCCCGGGCAGCATGGCCAGCATGTCCGGTCAACCCAGGAGAAGGCAGCTTGTTGTTCCTTCACGAGGGGTGGCTCTGGCCCAACAGGCAACCTTGGCCCAGGGCAAGCAGGGCGGGCGGCAGAACCCCTCAGACCAGCTGGAGTCCTGGGGACCTTGCAGGGAATGAACAGGGGCCAGACCTGTGCGACCCTCGCCGGAAGAAGCCACCTCACCCTCTAGAGAGGCCAGAAAGAAAGCACCTGCCAGGAGCCCACAGCCAGCACAGGGACAGATGGCCAGACCCAGCCGCCTCTCTTCCTGTGAGCACCGCACTCTACACCACCCGAGGCTTTTTCTCCACCAAAGAGCCCCAAGGCCCTGCCCAGAGCCTCCCTGAGGCCCAGCAGCTGCACCTTGGATTTACAGGGCATCCTGGAACTAATGCCCTGAAACATCCTCCCAGAACTGCCAGGCCAGGGACATGGAGGGCCGGGCACCTGAGTTTCCAAAGTGTATTTAAAAATGTGTCCGCGTCACTGTAAAGAAGATCCTCCCAGGATTTGTCAGCCTAGGAAAGGCTGTAGGCGTTTTCCTTATAAAATAATAAAATTTTATCTCTTCTTCTAGAACAGCAAGAGCTTTAAAGTGCTTGATGAAAGTAAACTATTAAGGTTTGTTCACCACTTGGGAAAAGCACCCCACACCGCTGGAGACGGCGAGATGGCAAGCTCCACCCTGAGTCAGAGCGCACGCCCAGGGCAGGGATGGGGGCGGGGATACAGCTATTGCAGAGGTGGCAGTCACACACCAACACTGCGCCCTGGAGGTGTCTGCCCCTGGCAGGGGGTGGCTGATCCTGGGGTGGGAAACACCTGTGTCAGGTGAAGGAGCAGGGGCCAGAGAGGGGTCCGGGGCAGGGAGGGGTCAGCCAGGACGGGGGTCTACCCCCAGGTGAGTGCTTCACCTGCGGCTGGAGCCATCCCAACCTTCGGGGTCTCGCTGGCGCCTTCTTGCCTGATTCATCTGGAGACTCCGACCTTCTTCTCTGGATGCCTTGGCAGAAACAATTTTAAACAAACAGATGAAGAAACACTAAGGATTAAGTAAACTCCTGAAGATCAAGTTGTCAGGCCCGTCTGCCTGCCCTTCCTCCTCCTTGGGCTCTGGGGCAGGGCCTGGGGCTGGGGTGTGGCTGGGACAGTCACCAGAGGAGAGGGAGGTTCTGGCCTCTGTCCTGGCTGGGCACAGGGGGAGGCCAGGGGAGAAACCTTCCAGAGAACCCCTCTCCTCCCACCTGGTGTGAGCCTCTGGGGACACACGATTCACTTCCAGTGAGACAAGCAAGTCACACAACACCGAAAAGGAACTTCCCATCTTTATTTTAAAAAGAGGGAGAGAGAGAGACTAAGTACCACACCGTGAAACCAAGCGGAGAGGAGGCAGGGGGGTTCTGGACTCTCTATTCCTTTCCATATCGATTGGGTTTTTAAACATCAGATATGTATTTCCACAATACGAAAAAAAGAAAACATTTACAAACTCAGCATCCTTTTTCCCTCACCCAGATGCTCCCTTCCCCGCTGGGGTGTCCCAGGACACCGATGCCTGGCCCTCGCGGAAGGGGGCCGATCAGCAGGCAGAGGGAGTAGCTGCCTCAACAGCTCTGGGGGCGTCGCAAAGAGCAGGGAGCTGGGGCTGCCCTAGGCAGGGCCCTGTCCAAGACAGAGCCCACAAGCCACCCAAGGCAGCTGGGGGGACCTCAGGGGCCAGAGGGCCAATCCTGCAGCCTCTGAGCACTGGGGCGAGTTCTTTCTTAAAAGACACTTCACAAAAATACTTGGTAATTGAGTTTAATAATCTTCTCCCTTCCAGAAAGGGCCTGACAGGCGCTGCCTGCTGCTCACTTCTGCCCCATTCCAAATATTTTTACCTTATTTGGATGAAATGCATTATTTTTCTAATGAAAGGCTTTTTTTTTCAAAGGGCTGTTTTCCCTCCGTCCAGCAGCTGCCTTTATTAGGCAGCACTCACGCCGTTTTGGGGAGGGGTTTTTTCCTCCCTGAAATCACGCCAGAATCTCTGTCCTCAAAAGCCGAAATCCGTGCTCAGGACCCACAAGGCAAAAGGCCCCTGGGGCCCAGGTTTCCATCGTTTCCCCCCGCAGTGAGTCCAGGGACCCACAAGACTACCAATCCCCCAGGTTGGAGAAAATGCTCCCCATGGTGCCCGCTGTCCCCACCCCAGCAGCTCTGGCTGCGTCTCTGTCCCAGGGCACCTGCCCTCTGGCCACCCCGACCCCGTTTGGTCCCATTGTAGGAGCAGCCTCTGCAAAATTAGAGACCATGAGAAATGGCCACCAAGTAAAGGGGGGACCTCATGCAGGGCCCAGGTTTCCACTCACAGAGGTCAGAGGGTGGGAAACCCTGTCTCCAGCCCCTGAGGCCGAGGGATGCTTCCACCTGAGCCACCAGCCCTCTGCTCACCCATCCCAGGTCTGCCCACCTGGCTCCCGGACACTGGGACCCCTTGGCAGACTGGGCTGGAAGCCCTTGGGGACTGAGAACCCTGGCTTCTACAGGGATGGCAAGGAGCAGAGGTAACTCAAGTGGGCTCTGCCTGGCCCTAGGGAGCACGTGGCGGAAAAACAGAGAGCCAGGATGTCATGTGAGGTTATAAGCATCAAAGACAAAACCAGAGAAACCAGGCTGGACGCTCAGAGGATCAGGGAGAGGCCAGTCGCCATGACCTGACACCTCCAAAGGGCCCCCCAGCCTGCAAGTCAGTTTGCTGCAGGAGCCCGAAAAGGGGGTCTGGGCAGAAGGTGAAATGTTTTCTGAGACAAGACAGCCCCAGTGCCAAGTCTCTCACCCTCAGCCAGCGGTGTCCTCCCTCCCCGGGCCAGGCGGGCGGGAGGCCGGGTGCCGTGGTCAGGAGGCCACGGGCCTCCCTGGAGGGTACATACCGGGCTGCAGCAACACCTCCGTGGCCGCTGTCCCTGCACTTTGTTTCCAGAGCCTCTGTGCCTACACAAGGCGCTGGACGTGACCAGGCCCTCTGTCCCCACGCACGGCCACAGCACCGGGGGCTCCAGGGAGCGGAATGCTCCCTGGAAGGAGTAGCGAGCGCTGTTTTTCTGGGTTTAGCTAAGTGCTGTGTGAAGGTTAAAGGGAGACAGGGAGGGTGAGATGGAGACGAGATGGGGGAGGAAGAGGGAACGAGACACTCTCTCCTGGGAGCACACGCATCCATTTAAGGAAGGAGAGCTCATCACACTCCACACCAGGTCTATATACAGTAACGTGAGGTCCCTTCTCCTCCTAGATCAGAATGTCGCCCTTCAGCACACGCTCGGGACCGAGGACAAAGCCCTCCAGTTGTGGGTGAGCGCCTGCCTCAACACCTGCCTTGGGGGAGGGACTGGACGAGGGAGGCAGGGCTGCCCTCCATCAGGCCCACCACAGGGCTGCCCTGGCCCTGGCCCCCACATCCCCTCCCTAGAGCCCACCTGGCGTGGCCTTGGCCATGATCCACCTCCCAGGCACACGGAGCTGTGAGCAGACAGGGAGCCACAGGCAGGAATTAAATAGTGGCAACTCGTATTTATTACAATTATATACAGTCGTATCTTAGACTCTGAAACCTATATCTGATCACACACAGGAACACGTGTTTAGGGAGCAGGGCGGGGACAGACAGGAAGGCCCTGATGCTCGGCTCCTGCGTGGGGGCGGAACCCCATCTCCCCACGGCGGTAGCTGGGCCACGATGCGGCAAGCGGACAGTCAGAGGTGCAGCACGACCGGGCACGGTGGGGCTGGGGCTGCGGCATCATCCGGGCAGGGCCGGCTGTGGGGCCCCCGCCAGAGAGACGCGCAGGGCTGCCTGCTTTTGGAACCATGTCAGGGAGGCCCCTTGGCCACCGGCGAGAAGCAGTGAGGGAGCCGCAGGCAGAGGGAGGGGATGGCAGATGCCAGGTCACGCGGCTCCTCCTCTGCTGAGGGTCAGGAGTCAGGTAATAAAACTACCTCTTGTCATGCACGGTGTTAGGCTGGCTAAGACGCTCAGCAGACACCCCTGGACAGAGCGTCTGCCCGGGAGGGGCTGGGGGGCTTGAGCCCAGAGTTCAGCGCCCTCGGCTTGACACAAGGACAAGGTGGAGGCCTGCCTGTCTGGGGCTGAGCCGAGGAGGTGGCAGGCTGGGCGCATGGAAAGGTGAGCCCACGGGGGGACAGGCATCGGTCCTCACGCCACCCCTGCCGGGCTCGAGGCCACGTCCGCACCTGGCCCACGACCCCCGGCGCCTAGTCCCGCTCGCTCTCGTTGCTGGCGCCCTCGGGCCGCCGCAGCTTCTCCACCTGCTCGTTGATCTGCCCGTCCCCTCCCCGGCGGTCCTCCCTCTGTACCCCCAGGCAGTCCTCCTCGTCCACGCGGCTCACGTCCTCATCCTCCTCGTCCTCCTCGTCCTCCCTCTTCTCTTCCTCACCCTGCACCTCCATCCTCACCTGGCCCTTGACGTCCACCACCCCCTCGCCCCCCTCCTGGGGGCCCAGCAGGTGGTACGTGGCCGTGGAGCCCTCGGGGCTGTGGCCCTCCTTCACGGGCGAGGACGACGTGGACTCATTGCTGACGGGCGAGATGTCACTGCTGCTGTGGTGGTTCACGGTAGCAGGGCTGGAGGGGGACGGCGACTTGACCGGGATCTGCCAGGAGGGGATCTTCGGGGCTGAAGGGGAGGGTGGGAACTGCCTCCTGGCAGGGGAAGGAGAAGAGAGGAGGGCTCACCTTCAGCAAAGCCACACCCTCCCAGACCTCACGCGCTCATCCAAGGTGAGCAGCAACCCCAGGGCCACCAAGCAGGGGACAGGACGCAGTTCTGCGACCCACTACCAACTCCCTTCTCCCCCTCCTCTCAGAAACAGGGCCTCTGGGCCCCTGAGGTTGGAGTGGCTGCCTGCAGAGCACCCTGTCCCACTAAAGGCGCGAAACACTAGAGCCTGTTCCCTGCTGTACTTCCAACACTGCCCCAGCATCCAGCCCTAGGAGAGGCAGCGAGCAAGGAGGGGCAGCCAGAAGCCTGGGAACCCAAGACACCTGGGCCTCGACTCTAACTTGTCCATGGCCTGGGGGCCAAAGGCAGGGGATAGGGGAGAGCCTGGCTTCTGGTTCAGAGGTACCAGCCCCAGAAGGGTAACACTGGTAACCTAGCACTTTTCTAGGAAACCTCTGAGCATAACACTTGACATCAGGGTCAGTTCTCCCTCCCACTCTTGTGCCCTCATCCTGAGCCCTGGGCCAACAGCCAGCCTGGACCAAAGCAGACTCCAGGAGGGACCCAGGAAGTCAGGGCCACTTGGCCAGGGCTTGGAAATCAATCTCTAGGACAGGTGGGACCACCCCTGCCTGAGCCAAGGGGACAAAGGCCTGCTGCCTCATGGGCTGCCCACCATGCCCCCAGCTCTGGTCCCAGAACAGCCCTTCCACCTCAGACCTCACCGCAGAGTGCACACAGCTCGGGCCTCAGCATTCACCTGTGTCACAGACGCTAGTGAGAAATTCAATTGGCTGTTTTCTTGGCTCCAAAGTAACCCAAAAACCTGCTCTCTGTCCCTCTGGCCTCCAAGGCTCTCATCTCCTGGTTCGGAAACACAGAGGATGTCCCCAAGGGACAGCCCTCTAGCACCCCAAGCCTGGCCCTGCCTCTCTTAAGGATACGCTCTTTTCCCAGAGAGAGCCTACAAGTGGGTGGCTTGAAGAACTGGGTCTTCTGGTTGGAGCCACAAGACCACACCAGGCCCCCATACCTGAAGAGCTGCCGTCTTGCACAGCCCCCACTAAACCCCAGGGTGCCCTGCAGGTGGGTGGTCAACTGTCCCCTGGGACCCAAGACACAGGACTTTCAGTTTTAAAATCAGATAGGCCCAGACAAGTTGATCACCCTCCACTCAGGGCTGTCCCTCTGGAGGGGCTGCAGAGCGAGACCAAAGGCAGTGAGGGTGGGGGGGGCAGGCCCTTCTTGAATCGTAGGACCCTTCAAGCTGAACAGGTACAAAGACTGCTGGCCTGGCCCTCTGGGGAGACCTCCTCTGGGACCAAGTTGTCACTGGGAGGTCCAGCTGGGGCTCAGGGCAGGGGAGGAGCCGGCCCTGTCTGGAGGGGCAGGGACACTCTCCTCTGCTCAATGTCCCGCTTCTGGCTGCAGCTGCTCTTGACCAGGTCTTGACCGGCAGAGGAGCTATTTGTATTTCAAAACTCATGTGGGCGCTGCAGACTGTCACCTCTGGAGCAGGGAGGGCAGGGCCTACCAGTGAGGAAAGGTGGAAGTGCAGGAGATTCCCAAAGTCAGTATCTGAATCATATGCTCAGTCAGGGACCAGGTGCACAGGGGCCCCCTAGGGAGATGGGGGGGGTCCCTCCCCCCCAGCCCTAGGCAGAAAGCAGAATAGAAGCCCGTGCCTTCTCAGCTCCTACCGATTTAAAAGAAGCCCTTTCAAGGAGTTAATTTCTGACTTGAGTTCATTGATGTTCTGGGACTCCAGGATCCAGTTGGTGGACGTAGTGGCCTGAAAGTCAAAACACAGAGGGCTGAGGGAGTCAGAGTGGCACCTCCCTCCCATCCCACGGAGCTCGGACTGCTGGGGTGGCAGGGGAACCCGGGGCCTTCTGTGTCCTGTGGCACCAGCCTGGAGCTCCCTCTGGAAGGTCCTGCCACAGCCCATTCAGGGTCTGCCTGCCTCGGTAAATGGCGACTCCCTTAAAACAAACATTGCCACAACTCTATTTGGATAGCTGACGATACCAAGGAATCATGACATGCATTTAGGTGTAGTAGTGGTACCCTGGTCATGTAAAATAAAACAACAGCAACAGCCAAAGAGCCCTTATCTTTTAGATACAAACTGAAGGGTCTGCAGCATGAAATGACATGCTGTCTGGGATGTGCTTCAAAATAACTGGGGGTAGGAGTGCGGGCAGATGAGGCCCGGGCGGCAGCGGTGTGATCAGAGCATGAGGGGTCACTGTGTGCCCCCAACCCCATTTCCATGTGTGTTTGAAATGTTCCATTAAAACAAAACTAATAAGATAAATAAATTCCATTTATACACCAACTACTCCCTCCACTTAAGTCCGTCCCCTGCAGAGATACCACACACACACACACACACACACACACACACACCACACACACACACACACACACACACACACACACGATCTCTGGGGCTGAGACAGGCAGCCACCTCCACCCACAGGTCCTCGGAGCCACCCTGGAGGGTCAAGGGAGACACCAGAGCAACTGCCCAGCCCAGCCCGTGCTCTCATCTCAAGCAAGCCCAGAAGACAGGCTTCACCCAGGATGCCCTCCTCACGCTGTCAGAGACCTGCAGCCCCGCCGCCCATCCACAGCTGTTTCTTTGGGATGACCCTGAAGGCTCAGCAGAGAGAAGGAAGACATCCTGGAATCAACTCCTTCCCAGAAGAGGGCTCACTGAGGAAACAGCCACGATAGCCTCAGACGGACGCCACCCTCCGTGCACAACTTTCCCTTTGAACTTAACGCTGTTTTCCACATAAACTTCAGAGAACCACACCTTTCTTTGGCAAATCTTGTTGGGATAGATGGAGAAGAGGAAAGCCAGGATGGCTGTCCCCCAAATGGGAGATGCCAGTGGCCAAGCTGCCTGTGAAGTGTTTACGGGCCAATTCCAGGTGTGACGGCCTCTGGAGTGCGGGCCTGCATCTTCCAGGCCAGAGGCCGCCTCCAAGTGGCTTCACGTGCACAGTTAATCGTGCAAGGCCCCATCCCCGGACACAGAGAACCCGAAATGTAAGTTCAGGAGAAGGTGGGGAGCCTCAGGGGGCCTCTGACATGGGGTGGGGGCGGCTGCGGGTCCCATCCCCGGCACAACTTTGCAGGGAGAAGCCCCTCTGAGGGGCTGCAGGTCTCGGGAAGGAAATCCCGGGCAGTCTCAGAGCGAATGCACAGCAGCACCCGCCGCCTCGCACACGGCCCCTCGGGGTCCCCACTCCAGACCAGGCAGCGCAGATCCAGGAGCCACTGTGCTGGCTTCTCTGAGACCTTGAAAGCCAGAGCAGCCCATTAACAAGGGAGCGATTTCCACTCACCGGCCTACAAAGGACTCAAATTTCCAAACGCGTACGGTGCCAGATGCCAGGATTTAGAAATAAAATCTGACATCTGGGGCTTTTTAGCCAGTCTCTTTAAAAAACAGTTGTAGAAAACTCCCAGCCTTCAGTTTTATGTAGGTTTTTTAATTACTTAACGCTCTTCTTTTTAATTTTTTACAGTGCTGCAGTAGGAGTTTGGAAGCCAGTTATAAAAACTTACATTACAGCTGAGAAAACACAGCTCTGAGTCTTTGGTTTATGGGGTAACCGAAATCTTCACACTTACGGCTTGAGACACCAAACCAGTGAGCAGGGCTTCAGCAGGGAGAGAATGAAGGGGGCTGGGGGGTCATCAGAAAAACAAGCACGAGAAACTCTCAGAGGAGGCCCTCAACCACCAAACACTATCCTGGGCCCCCCTCCCCTCTTAAAACGCAACATGTGGTCTTAATCTTAATGCTTAAGGTCTGAAAACAGTTTTCCAATTTCCGGAATGGCTTCTGGCCATGGGCAGGCCTGCACTCCAAAAGATAATGGAGGAAAGAGGGGTGGGGGCCTTAACCCGGCCTTCCCGGCTGCTTCACGGGCGGCCTGCCTGCGGGAAGCGTGCGCGGTGGCCGGCAATGGCCACCAGCAACCACAGCCATCTGTGGAGGAAGTGCAGGTGGTGCCTGTGTGTGCGGTATCCCACGAGGATTCTCGGGGACCCTTTTCCCAGGAGGTACACCAGATTCCATTCGAAACGGAAAGATTCCCACACACCTATAAGGTGCTGTGTTTTGCAAATGCAGAAGATCTGAGTGCTGGCTCACATGAGTTGGGCACTAGGGTGGGGCTTTCCCTGGGAGAGCCACTCGGAGTGAGATCCTTTACAGCATGGCTGCATAGAAGCAGCCAGAAAGCAAAACCAGAGGAGAGGATGAAGCGGGGAGGACAGTGGATGGCCTGGAGCCACAGGACCACTATCTCCTGGGCCCTGTGTGTCTCAGGAATGACCCTGTCACTCATTCATACAAACACACACACACACACTCCCACACCAGAAGCCCAGGAGCTGACAGCAGTCAGGCACTGTGCTCAATGTGTACAGACAATGAGGGAGGTACCGTTATAGCTCCATTTCACAGACGAGGAAACTAAGAATTGGAGAGGTTAAGCAACTTGTCTGTGGTCACACAGCTAGTATGTGGCAGAGGAGAATTTTAACCCCGGCGGTCTGATCTGATTCTAGAATCTAATATTGCCAAGGTGGCTTCAGATTTGGGAAGTGAGGCTTGGAAACCGTCCGGTTGATCTCAGGTGGCTCTACACTCTTTTAGGGGTTACCGGACCCCGAGGCCTGGGTTTAGAGAACCTGCCCATTACAGGAGTTTAGCCCAGGGCCTGGGCACACCTCTCCTGCCCTGTTCCGCAGAACCACTCCAGGCAGCACTGGGGCCTGTGACCTAACTTGCAGGTGGAGACTATCCCGCGTCTACACCAGCCACCACCAGAGCAGGGTGTGTGCTGCCGCGGGAGGACCGCAGACAGAGAACTGCTTTTCCTCCCTCCTGTTGGGAGGTGACAGGGACACAGAAAGGACAGCCTGTCACTGAACACCACACCACCCACACGGTGCCTGCCCCCTATCTCTACAAGAACAGTGAAACCAGCATCAGAAAAAACAAAATCAGACCCCACGGGATGTACTGAACTGGGCACAAAGGACCAGAGTGAGGAGCGTGCGGGGCAGACCCGGGCCTGGAGGGACCAGAGGATGAGGGACAAGTACCTTGGCTGCAGCCAGTTCGTGGGCAAGCTCCTGGACTTTCTGCTGCTGCTGAATCAGCAGCTCCTGGACGGAGGCGAGAGTCACCTGTAACTGTGTCACTGGGAGGAAAGAGCAGTCGCATCTGTTAAACGATACACACAGACTCTTCCTTCTCTCTGTCCACACACCTATAAGCTGCTGCATCTGATTTGTCTGCCCACATCCCCCACCCCCTGCAATCCATATAATTCACCTGCACTCTGTGTAATCCACCTGCACTGTATCTAACCTCTAGTATTTCTACTTTATCTTTCTATCATGTAGTTGTCTGAGGTCAACAGTATATCCGTCCAAAACCTCTCCCCTCTAATTATATCTGCTTATAATTTGCTTGGCTCTTCCAACTTCGCTACTGTCTGCATCCCCATCTCCAGGCCTCCTTGTGTCCTTGTGGAACTCATGGAAAGCCTCCAGTCCTGGGAGGGAGACATCTCAGGTCCACCGTACCCAGGAGTGGTTAAAAATCACAAATGCTGATTCCCTCCTGCTCCTTCCTGCCATCCCCATCCACCCCCGAGGCCGCCAGAGCTCCCTGGTGGCAGGCGACTTGTCCAGGCCTCACTGTCAGCCTCCGAGGAGAAACGCTAGCAGGGCATGTGCTCCGGAGGATTTCTGAGAGCATCACAAACATGCCCCTGAGGGACAGACTCCTGTCTGGGACAGGCAGCTCTCTCATTTGCCTGAGTTTTTAGATTCAGAGCCTCCATCCAGTAAACAAGTTTATAAAGGAGAAAATCACCTCCAGCGCGACAGGTCCCAGCTAATCTGGGCCGTCACTGGGGCACCGGGTAACGAACGCGAGCCCCGTGGAGTCGATGACAGAGGAGGTGGCCAGGGTCCCGGGAGCCGCAGTAATTACAGCCTCTCTTGACCCCGTGTTGGATTCTTAGAGGGAAGGGGGAAAATTGCTGAAAACCCCCCTGAAAACCTCATAGAAGCAGAAATTAAAAATGAACTTTACAGCCCTTAGAAAGGCTGTCATTTTATTCCCCTTATTAATATTCTGAGGTTGGGAGCCTTTCCGTAAAAACATAATTAATTGAGGCCGCGCCGACAGTAAACAAGCAATTTCAAATTAAACCGAAATGACGGCGGCTTCATTTGCAAATGTGAACAGATTCTCAGAGCAGATAAATGAAGTCACCACATAAAGTGGAGACGGAGGGGAGAGGGGAGGGGGCAGAGAAGGGGTTGCTCGGAGAAGGCTTTGAGGGGTGACTTGATGGAGTCATTAATCTTTACCTGTCTGTGCCACGCTGCCACTCAACTCCGAGAGACTCGCCTCCATCCTCTCCAGTTGCTTCCTGTCCTCGCGGCCGCCCGTGATGAGGGGGAGCAGGTATTTCTGCAAGAAGCAGGGCGGGCGTGAGGAACGCGTAGGTACTTGGGGTTATTCTCCAACACTCTCTCAGATTCTGCCGACCAACTTTCTCTGTCACTCCCGGCTTTTGGAAACCCTACGCCAACACCGTAAATGACCAAGATATCCAAAAGTTATGAGGCTGTGATCACAAGCACAGAAAAATTCTGTCTGAATCGGAACCAGAACCAGGGAACATGAAAAATCAACTTGACCTATTGGGATGGAGAACTTTTTGGTTCTTTTATTTTGTTTTTAAATACTGCCATAGATAATATTTCTGTGACCAAAACATTCAAAATTCTACTTTTAAAGTTGTGTGATACAAAGTGTAGAAGGTTATATAGAAAGTGATACCACTGGTGGCTTGCGGGAGGGGTGGGAGGGAAGCGTTTTACTGTACACTTTTCTGAACCTTTAACATTTGGAACCATATGACTAAATTATCTATTCAGAAACAAATGAATAAAATTAAACAAAAAATTATTCAAGAAACAAGATCGAAATCCATAAGAGATTCGTGGGACCGCTGGTTCTTTTACTAGGAGGGTGTCATATGTGGGTATTCCAAGGCCATCTAAGGAGGCCACACCTCAGTCTTTTTCTAAAAGCCTTGAATCCTCAGAACAAGTTTCCTTCAGGTCAGAGACAAATGCAGCCAGATTCTCCCAGAATTGACGTGGGGCGATGGGGGAGGTGGAGACAGAACCAGAAGAAACTGACCTTGGGGAAAAGGGACGTTGACGCTGCAGGGCAGCCAAACAAGGGGCCCAGAACACGGGGAACCCAGACGAGGGGAGGACGAGGGTCTCGGAACATTCAGGGAGAAGGCAGGTGGGGCACAGCTGGTAACTGGTTCCTCGCTTTGAGGTGTGAAGGGGCGGAGGTAGACGGCAGGGTGCCCGCTGGGAGAACCAGATAAAAGATGTGCTCTGAACTCCAAAAGCTCAGGACATGACACCCTCCCACTTAAGGAATGTGAGACCAGTCACCAGCTTTACTGAGGTGGCACCAGGGGTAGCTCCGTGCACACCTGGCAGGTGTGGTAAGTGGCAGGTGTGAAAGGAGAACTTTGGTTCCTACTCCATTTGGGTCCTGGATAGGAAAAGACAGCAACTTCTCCATTAAGGCTTCCGTACTGGGGAAGGGAAAGGAGGTCTCTCACAAGGGGTTTGTGGGAGAATTCATTTCAAGAGCAACTCCTAAGTGAAGAGCACTGTTTAGTATACATAAAGAAGCATTTTCTATTTTGCAAAGTGCTTTTCAACCATCGTGTAAATTATTACCCACAACTGAGCTGAAACTCATCAAATGTAGCCTGACGTTCTAGGTAGAAAATTTCCTAAGTATAAAAGTCAAGAAATTCTTACGTGTGTATTGAACTAAAAATTTCATTTCTAAGATCAAAAATGCCAAGGAAAGGAACACATACACTACCCTAGTCTAAATCTTTATGTATTTACAAAACAAGATGACAGCTTGCCTCTCCTTTTTCTTTTTAACTTTGCAGATATTTAAAAAATTCTCGTCACCGTTGTGACTGATCTTTCACTGTCTCCTCCTTCTGAAAGCAGAGACCAAGGATCAGAGCTTTATGGGAACAACCGATGATAGCTCGTATCTCCGCTATGCTCCAAGGGGAGCTATGCGCTTTCTCTTCCCACCAGATCACAGGCCGTCCAAGGGCAGCCGTGTGACTATCACGTACCAGTCAGTAGAGCCAGGACATTAATTTGAGAATCCTGTCTTAGCACTTCCTTCTTCCTGGTGACTGTACGCAGTTAGTGACTGGAAACTGGCTTTCAGCACACAAGGTAATGGGAGGCATCGGCTCAGAGGGAAAAGTCCCAGGACTCAGAACCCCTTGCTTCTGACATGGAAATTCCCAAGTTTAGGAACAGATGTTACACCGAAAAGATTATATTCTGCTACAACTCTGTCATTAGCTTTTGCACTTAAGTCAAAAATTAAGAATCCCAGAGTGCAGTGTTGCAGCATGCCTCATGTGCTAAAAGTGATGACAACAGTGAGTCTGGGTATTCATTCAGATTCTTTTTTTTTTTAAATCACCAAATGAGGGATGGAGTTGCAGGCGGCCTCAGAAAGAAGGGGGCTTGTCTCTCCAGGACCAACAGAGACTAAGCCCTCCAGCCCCTGTTTACCTTGTGTCTCTGGGGCCATCCCCTGGCTCTGCATTGTCTAAAAAAGACTTGCTTCAAATCAAAGTGGTGACCTGGCAATTAGTATCTGATTAGGAGGATCTGGTATCAACGTTCACTCTACGCCTGCAGCTCTGTCGTCAGCAATGAACTCTGGGATACTGAGGGCTGACTATGAAGTCCGTGAAAAATCCTGGATTTACATGGATGCCAACACAATATACAGGAGGAAAAAGTAGATCCTGTAAATATGATTGTACTGAGATTCTCAAAGCTGGTTTTAAATACTAAGTGGAACAATAGCGTACAGAGCGCTTCCTATGTGCTGGGCACAGAGCACTTTCCAAAGCAGCACCGACTCCTTTGAGCTTCACAACAGCCTCGGTAGATACCATTGTCCCCATTTTACAGATGAAACCCCGAGCCTGTGGTCACACAGCTACTAAGTGGCAGAGCCGGGATGCAACTCAGGCAGCTGGGCTCCGGTGACCATGCTGTTAACCACCACGCCATTCTGTCTCTCAGAAAAGCACAGACTGCTCAGTACGTGCCGGGTGCTGCTCTGAGTACTGGCCGTGGCTTGTTGATCACCCTGTGCAGCGGGGGCTCCGAGGAGACGCTGAGTCCCGCAGATGAGGCAGGGTCCGAACCTGCCAAGCACACCCGCCCAGGTGGGGGCAGGACAGGCCTGGAACCAGATGCCCCTTCCAGGGTGTTCATCACACACTCCCCTGCACACCTCCACACAGACACACCCCAGGACCGGGGAGAACGGGGCTGAATGCCAAGGGGTGTGCGGGGAGGGGCGACTTACCTTGTAGAGCTGGTGAAAGCCGAACGCAATCCCTGCCATGATGATGGCCAAGGCGCTGTAATCTCTCCACCGGGAGCCCGCAGGGCCTAAGGTCGGGAGAAAAGGGCGTCAGGAGAAGTGGCGCTGGCGCCCTTGCCCGGGGCCGGGGAAGCAGGTGAACTCAGTCTCCTCATCTCAAAGGCTGAGCAATGCTGGGAGCCCATGAGTGAGCACCGGGACACCAGCTGGGCTGCGTCTCCCCCGCCTCCCAGGCTCTCGGAACCACCTGCTTCAACAGTGCGCCTGCCGGGTGGCGGTGTCTAAAGGGGCCGAGAGCCGGCGTGGGGATCTGAAGACCGAGGGCACGGGCTTCACTTTCGTGGAACAAAGGACCCGGTGAGGCTGACACAGCATGGCTGAGTGTGGTGAAAGTGCGTCCACATGCCCCCTACACGTACAGGGCTGTGCTCAGAGCCACCTCAGACCCAGGGACAAAGGCTGCATCACCTGTTCACTCAACTTTAGGAGGTGCTGGCGGTGTGCACGACAGTGTTGGGGGCACGGGAGACAGAGGTGACGAGACCCCTGATCTGTTCTACTCTGTGAAAACAGAGCCTGGTGAAGAGGAGACAGCCTACAAATCACTGAACTGGTGACTCCAGAGAGGTATGGAGAACAGCCAGCAGGGCAGTGTGAGCGCCGGGGCGGCAGACACCCCCTTGGAGGAGGAGGATGCCAAGACTGTGGGGTCCTGGGCACAGTGCTCTAGGCAGGGGACGAGCAAGAGAATGGGCAGGGATAGACCTGTGCTTGAGCAGATGAGGCAGCCCCTGGGCCTCACCAAGAGCGGAGGGTTGCTGCTGGCCAGAAGAGGGGTTGGGGGGTGCAGGTGGAAAAGGCAGGGCCGGGTGGGGAGCGCACCCAGGGAACCTGTCATTTCACAAACGGTGGGGGCTGCTGAAGGCTCTGGATCAGGGAGGGATGTGGTCAGCTCTGTATTTTGGGAGAACATCAGGTAGCACCCATGACCAGATGCAGGTGGGAGGAGCTACTGCAAGGGACCACAAATGGTGAGAGGAACTGGGACCATGATGGAACATCTCAGGGGATCTGGAATTGGGCAGCCGGCCTTCACATAGGAGCAGGCCCTTCATTACAGAGAGTACCCCCAACCCACGAACAAATTCTAGTTCCACAGGAGGGGAGGGGAGTTCTCTACTCCATAACCTTCCCCATGTTCTGTTTACAAAGTGCTTTTAGGTCCAGAATCTGATCTGCTGCCTGGCAATTCCGTGAGGTGCAGGGGAAGGCATCAAATCCACCTGGAACGTCCACTCCAAGCAGCCAAGTCCAGGCCACACAGCTGCCTCCTCTCAAGGGAGCTGCCATGGTGTGTGTGTGTGTGTGTGTGAGGTGGGGGATGGGCCACCGTTTCCAGAACCATCGGTGGTGCCGGACACCAACCAGTCTGTGGACTCAGACACAGTGACATGGGAAGTGACGCAGAAGGCACCCATCCGAGGCACGCTGCTAGGATCTAGGATCTGGAAGCAAGCCTGGGAGAGAAGGTGAAGCAGGAAGAGCCACCGCATTCCCAGAATGAAAGGAGCACCGCACGCAGCCCGAGGCCTTATGTCCTCAGAGACGGACACCTGGGCGTTTCAGCCTTCCCCTTTCCCCTGGGGCTGCAAGCTCTGAGGTACTGGTCACATCCTAGGGTTTCATGACCAAAGGAGGGCAGGTGACGGATGGTTTTTAAAGTCCTTGGTAGGATGTGGGCACATGGAGTAGGGAGGGGCTGCTGGTATGATCAGAGGAGATGCAAGTCATGAAGACCCCAAGGGGGTGAGGGAGACGCTACCCTCTCCCTGAGCTGCTGAATGGGGCTCTCAGGAGGCAGAGACAACAGTGATGGAAGAGCCTGGAAAGAGTCTCTACTTGGACCCCCTGCCGATCCCGCCTGTGGATTCCACACAAGGTTCCCGATGTGGCCCAGCCCTGGAGTCTCCTGCACAAACTGTAAGCAACAGGTAGCCTCTCCCATGACCCTCAATTCCCTTCTCTGGTTTACAGTTTTTGAATAGGTGATACATAGCCCAAACATGACACAGCACATATCAGTCTACTGCAAAGAGGATTCCTCCACCACCAAAAGCCACTGTCAACAGTTTCTTCCTTATCCTGCAGAGAATTTTTATGCACATATGAGGCAACACAGATAGGCATTATTTTCCTTCTCTTTCCCTCTACTTCTCATTCTTCTTTTTTTCTAAAGCTGCATTGTATTCTATTAAGCCAATTTCCTACTGATGGGTATTTAGATGACTTCCAGTCTTTTACAATTTCACACAGTGCTGCCATCAATGACCACGTACACGTGGCATCCCGCATATACGTACAAGCACATCTGTAAACGGGAATGCCTAGGAGGCTGCGTCAGAGACGGCCAAACGGTCCTCCATGGGGGCTGAACCAGTTCATTCCCACCTGTTTCCCCACAGCCACTCCAACACAATGAGTTAATCACATGCGCAGATTTCTGCCAATGCTGGAGCAAAAAACTAGAACTTCACTCTAGCTTTAACTTGCATTTATCTTATTGTGAGTGAGGACTGAGCATCTTTTCATCTGCATTTTCTTTTTGGTATACTATATGCTCCCTACTTTTCTACTCTATTTCTTTATCAATTTTCTTAATCAATTTATGAAAGCTTCTTATACAGCAGGGAGATTAGCCCTCTGTCTATGACAGGAGTTGCAAAAATCTTTCCGAGTATATTTTTCTTTTGGCTCTGCTTATGGTGTTCTCTGGCATAAGTGTTTTCATGCTTACATAAATTTATCAATCTATTCTTTTGGGGCTCTAGGGTTTGTGTTACGGCAAGCCAGAACTTCCCCACCCCCTTCTGGGCTCGCAGTGACACTCAGGATTCACATCTAAACACTGTCTCCAGAGGGGGTTCTGTTGCTCTGACCTGCAGTGCCCACCCCATCCGACGCAGATCTACACAGAGAGGTGCTGCTCGCTAAATGGAAAGCACTGAGACCACTGAGGTAGATGGACCTTTCACCGTGACCCTGAGAAGCCAGGAGGCTCCCAGGCCCAAGCAGGTACTTCTCGTGTCTCAGCCTGCTCTGCTGAGAGCCCTGATTCCAAGGCAAGTTCATTTTTAGGAGGACAAAGCAAAGACAGAGTAACCCTGCCACTTTTCAAGAAAGTCACTGTTTGAGAGGGCTTTAATCCACACCCAGAACATCCATCTGGGCTGCCAAAATCCCCCAAGGGAGCACTCAAAATGGGCACGTGTCCAGAAAGCTCTATTCACCACTGACTTCTCAAATACCCAATAAATATCTTACAAGAAAACAGCTGCAACTGGGCTGCAAACTGGACCAGAACCCAAAGTCTGCTGCATTCTTTCCTGCAAACATCCCATGCGTGCCTGGAGACGTGCAGCCTCTGACCGCAGGTGCTGGGGCTGAGGCTGAGCAGATGCTGGCGGGTCAGGGGTCCAAGAACCAGGACCCCTCCTGCAGCTGCTGCCACCTCTGGGAACCTGACCTCCTCAAGCACCAAGAAACACCTGTGGCTCCGTGCCGGCCGCACCTTCACCCCCACACTGCTCCCTGCTTCTGCCGTGCTTGTGCTAAGAACATTTTATTGCCCCCTGGTTTTCATTATTAATGAAAAGGGACCAGAATGATCTTTCCTAAAGTTCAGAGAGTCTATAAAGACAAGAAGCTGAAATGCCATTTTACTCGTTTTGGAGATGTGTGATACAATTCTGTCTTGTGGCAAAATGAAAAAAGAGAAAAACTGAGGTGGAGATAACTCTTATCCACTGCACGCCTTTCAAAGGCTACAGACAAGGGCTAGCGAGAAAGCTCCCGGCGAGACCCGAAACTAGCTCAACCCCCAGCCATGACCACTGGAGCCCTCCCCATTGCCCACTCTGGGCCAATTTTTTCCAAGCCCAGTGCAGACCCCCCAGTGAGGGAACCCAGAGACCTGGGAGCTACAGCCGCTTGTCACCGTGCTCCCAAATGTCCAGAAAATACAGTCACAGGCAGAAAATGGGGCCAGATGCTTTAATGCTCTAACTCAAAAGGAAGGGAAACGGGGGTTGGGAGGGTGTAGCTCAGTGGAAGAGCACGTGCTTGGCACATGCAAGGTCCTAAGTTCAATCCCCAGTGCCTCCATTTAAAAAAAATTAAATAAATAAACTAATTCCCCCTCCCCCACCAAAAAAAATTAAGAGCAATGGAATGAATGAGCTTTTCAAAAGCTTCAAAGCCTCCAGTCTGAAGCAGATGCCCAGCTGCAGACACGGCAGCCCAGGGGGCAAGCAGGCAAGAAGCCTGAAGTCAGAGATCCCGGTACCACACCACCAACCAGGTGGCTCCCAAAGACGGTTTTCTCTTCTCTTCTTATCAAGCACCAACCATGTGACTGAAGGTGGCAGAGCTTTGTTAGAGTTAAAGAACTGAGGAATGATGATACATTTAAAGGCATTCAGACTCAAATTGTCTACAGCACTTCCCCATCAGGCACGACTAGCCAACTCACCAAAAGGCACAGCACTTCACCAACCTCATCACTGGCCTCTCTTGAGAATGAAGGGACAGTGGACTGTGGCAGCATTTCTGGGGCTGCCTGTATGTCTTAGGCTGCAGCGACGTCAGAGGTCAAACTATTGTAGGGAGACGAGGGTAGGGCTCTTCAAAACCCAACGCCTTCCTTAACCTCCCAAGGACTCCATCAACTAGCCTGAGCTCTGACAGCGTCCCTGGGGTCTGCCTGCCCAAAGGCTCAAGTGTCAGGTGATTTCACAGTGTACGGCAGCCACGTCAGGGGCAGGAGCCCCTGGCTCCTTAACCATTCACTGAACATCAACTAAACTAACATTACTTAATTCCTTTAGTTATAGCTCAATCAACCAAGAGTTTCTCACCTAGCCGGTGAGAACAAACATCATCAGGTGAGGCCGGGAATCGCGCACACAGCACAGCCATGTTGAGCTTGAAGTCACAAAGTCAGAGACTCATGGACACCACAGAAATACCACAATCCAGCAAAGACTCATCAACAATACAGAGCTGAAAGCTG